GTCCAGAAACTCGGCTTCGCTACCGTCAGCATCTTCAGGCCACCCCTTATACTCACTGAAGGACGCAACGAAAGCAGACCCCTCGAAGCCGTACTACAAGCTTGCAGCAAATGGACCGACCGAGGTGGCTGGTGGAGCATACATGCCTCCAAAATCGCACTCGCCATCTGGGCCGTGGCGCAAACATATACCCTTAGTCACAGCACTCAAGACAACACCCCAAATATTTCTGACGACAACACCACACAGACTACCGTCACCAAGATCTATGACCCCAAGCTCATTAAAGAAGCCGCGCGCGACTGGGAGAAGGAAGTGACCAACACGAAGGCCTCGGAAACGAAGGCCTCGGAAACGAAGGCCTCGGAAACGAAGGCCTCGGAAACGAAGGTTTCGGAAACGAAGGTTTCGGAAACGAAGGTTTCGGAAACGAAGGTTTCGGAAACGAAAACCGTGACAGAGACGAATAATACGACAGAGAAGAACATCACGGAGGCGGATACTAAGAAAGCTGAGCCTGCGTCCGACAAACAGACCACCGAGACGGTCACAGAGACCGCCACGGAGACGGCTCTGGAGGACACAGCGACTGCCCCCGCACAAGTTGCAGCCTAGCTGGGCCAAGCTGGGCGATTGTTTTTAAGTAATTATTAATTTAATGAATTTTCGTTAATTGTGAGCCGACCTGGATTTGAACTCTCGCGGAGAGAGAAGTCGGAAAGAGAAGTCGGAGCGGAAGTTTCACGTCCCCAGATTGTACCGATGTTGCCAGAACCTCGAAGAGTGTGTGTGACCACTCTCGCAATGCATATGCACGGCAACACCGAAGAGAAGTGTACGTTCGTTTCTGTTGTTTTCTAACCTAGATTTTTTATCGTCTTCATCAGAGGGGGGTGTTCAATCAGAGGGGTCAGGGAGACATCGTTAGTGGTGATAAGTATGGTTCGAGTTCTCGACTAAAACCACCCTTCCTTGACTGATGTTGTACCTGGCTGGTGTTGTACCTGGCTGGTGTTGTACCTGCCCGTATTATGCAAGTGTGATTGTGGGAAAAAAAAATGGAGGGTGGATTGAGTACAGATGTTTTTATTCGTCACGTGGGAGCGATAAGTGGAGTGAGTGTATCAGCGGATGCTCGTCGAGAGGGCGCGGAATTTTTCGAGCGGTTGAAAGCGCAGCCGAAGTTGGCGATAGAGGTATGTTTGACGGTTTTGCATGAGGCTTCTACGATGGGTAGTGCGGCTAGTACGATGGCGTTGATAATATTACGTCAAGCAGTGTGTGCATATTGGACGTTGCGTGATGACGCATTACGTCGAGCATTGCCTAGTGCTCGTGGTTCTGCATCTTCGAGTCGGACATCGGGTTCATCGTTGCCTCCTCATGAAAGTGGTCCTTTTCTGGAGACGGGAGGAGGTGAGTCTGTAAGTTACAGCCAGTGGTTGGCTACTTTGGAAGTCGTGTTATCGCAGTGTGTCGCATTGGTGGGGTATCAGTGTTCTAGACTGGAGACGCGTGAGGATGTTACAACACAGGCGTTGACGGCGGAGGCTAGGTTGGCGTTGCATGTGTATGGATTGGTAACTCGGAAAAGGTTCGCCTTACCCTCCGTTTTCCCCAACGCGGCAGCGCCGGGAGGTGTGTTGGAGAATGTACGGGGTGAGGAAGTCTCGCGGTTACAGCGATTGTTAGCTCGTGAAGATGCAGACCTGGAGACGGCATTGCTTGTCTTTGCCTTAGTAGAAGAGGTGGGCAAGTCCGACCGCTGTGGTTTACAAGGTTTACGTGTGCAGGATGTGCTTGCAACACATCGCTATTTTGATAACCATATTTCAAGCGAACTAATTGACTGGGCTGTACGACGTCTGATACGAACTAATAGCTGTTTGGCACGTACCGAACTACTCAAGCTTCTGGTACTTCTGTTCACCTGGTCCCAAGAGATCCGCTTTAACGTACGTGTAGATAATCTTTACGCCTCTATGTGTGTGCGCGAAACCGTCAAAAATGTGGTACTGAACACAGACATCTCACTTTACAACGTTGTCCTCCAACTTGAACAAGAGCTGTTTGCAAGCGATCGATGGGGCTCATCCTATGCAGAACAATTCCTCAAGGCACTTGGTGAATTAAATATACGTCTTGCTTGTCTCCGATTTGGCAGTTCTAACGAACATGTGCACACGAAATACCTACAACAAATCGTGGGCTCTCTTGACACACTCCTGGATGCATGCACCACCTTACGAACACAGAATTCCACCCCCTATCGATCCTGTATAACTTGGCTTGCTCTCAAACTGGACGTGCTTTATTGCCTACTCAAGAATCCTGATTGCGACCTGGGCGCTTGTCCTTCAGACATTCTTCCCCAGGTAGTGCAACACTGCGTAAAGACCATACTGCTTGTCCATGCGGCACGCCATGCCGACGACGACCACGCACAACTTATAGACTTGGCTCTCAAAATCGCCGCCTTCGTGTCCGTCTACAAACGTCGTCTGGAGCCAGGCTTGACGTCGGCGCTAGACAAGACCGCTGTGGCGCCGTTAATTAGAACGCTAGTCGTCGATAACTGGCGTATGATGGAAATCTTTACAGAGGACGACGAACAGGACCGCGTGCAAAAAAAGGAAGCAGCTGCAGCCGAAGCTGCAGCCGTGGCGACGGAAGCCAAAACACAGGAGGAGCTCAGTTCCGTTTTGCGTTTCCGTGGGTTCCAACTCGAGGAAGACGATCGATACCTTTACCGTATCGGTTTACTCGGGCTCATTTGCCGCACGTGCTTTGCAGACACAATATCGCTCGTTGCGCTTCGTATACAAGATGTTTACAATAGCGCACAAATGGACGATGATATCAACGACTACCAACGCTACCTACTCTACCTCGCCACGGCTCTCTGTTCCGATGAATATCCCAGCGGGGGCGCCGGACCTAGCCCTTACAGCGCACCTTACAATCATAGCCCCACCGGACACGCTATGGTCAGCGTTAACAACATCGAGGCTTTGTTGCGCGACGTAGGCGCTTTCCAATCTCCAGCGGGAGGGGTCCCCGTCGTAGCAGAAGAAACAACCTTGCTAGAGTTCTTTAAAGGGGTTTCAAACATACTACAAGACGAGGCCTTTGTCAACAAACTTAACCCCAAAACCCTTGTGCCATACCTAGTCTATCTCACCAGGATGACCCTCACATATGCATCACATCGACACGGAGAAACTACTGCCACCCCATTCGCCGATGCCTTCACCACCGAATTCCTACTCATGATGGCATCTACGCTCATCAAATTGTCCGTTCAATCACTACTGACCTATCCCACAGATCAAGCCATCTCCCGACTCTCCACCTTGGCTCTCGCTTGCCTTACTCGTTCTGAGAACTACCCTTTGCAACCTTTCATATTCGATCTACCAGTGTTTCAAAATTACGTTATCAAACAACTCAATCCAAGCCAACCCCACGGTACCACACCGCTGATCAACCTGTCACCCAAAGATCTCACTAAGATCGTTGAACTGGTAACTCTGTCTTCGTTATATTCCAGATTCGAAAGGAATGATCAGAATTTGAAACAAAATTCGCTTCTAAAACAAGCCAAATTGCTATCATATCTCTCATCAATTAGACGTAAGATATGCCCGACACATACACGTGTGTTTTACTACACACACACACACGTGTGTTACTACACATGCGTGTTTAGAGTTGGAGAATAAAAGTGAAGAAGAGTTTTCAATATGTTGCTCGATATTGCGGGGTCTAATTCGGGCTTATACTCGATCGCATATTGAATGTTGTTGCGCTGGTTATTTGGTGAGTTGGTTGTTTAGCAAGCAGCGTGTAATCAATAGTATGGACGAATGTTTGAAGATGCTGGGTTGCGCGGGTTCGAATCCCGGAGATGATAGCGAGAGTATGTCTGGCGTAGTGGTTGAGGATACGACATGGTTGGAGGTGTTGGGAAGCATAGGTGTAGGGTTGAGGCCGGAGACATATTCCCAGGTGTGTGCGTTATTAAAGTTGACCGTGTCAATCGTGCGGCCGGTAACGGACTTGACATCATTTGAGTTGGTGGTATGCCAAGTGGAGAAGGCAGTCCACCATCAGCTAACGTTCATCGATGCAGCTTTGAAACAAGCGAGTAGTGGACAAACGAGTAGTGGACAAACGAGTAGTGGACAAATGGAGACTGCGCCGGAAAGACTTCATTGGGTACGTTCGTTCATTATCCTGCTACGGACATTTGTTACTTTACAAAGGAGTACTGGCGATGGTGCGGGGAGCGGCAAACGGAGGCGTTTAGAACAATTAGTTAGGTCAACATCAATTCCATTTCTGTCCAAGATTATTGAGTCAGCTCCTGACTGTGATCTATTCTCAGTTGAGGAAGAAGAGAAGGCGGATGTTGTGGCGAATCTGTTACACCTAACTTCTCACGTCTTTAGTGTTGAAGAACCGGGCGATGAGGCACCCTGTTGGTTCATGCTCTGTAGGCCGAATTTTGCTGCATACTCGGTGAGTATGGCCACGACGTTGCTTTTGCGACCGTCGTCCCCTAAGTTGACCGAGGCGGAGGAGTTCGTTGGCGCAGTCTGCAGCGCTTTGGTCAAGTGGCATGGCCGCAGCGCTGGCAATCAACCATTCGTTCTCGAAGCTGTACGGTCTTGGCAGGAACCACTCGGACAACTCTTAGTGAACATCGTCATACAGGAGCTTTCATCGCCATCCTCTGGGTTCGGACGCCACAGAACATCTATAGGCTTAAGACTCACTAGCGACGTTGTACTAGCCATAATGTCCTTCTTAGTCGTCGAACAAAAACTCGAAACTCTACTTGAAACTTTACGGAGACAAATCGTACAACTACAACCCGCCGCTGACACCGTTCTACCCGACCATCTTAAACTCTTGTACGACGCAGGCACTCAATGGCATGCCAAACTACTCACCAGCGACAACCTCTCTAGGCCTGTCCGATTCCGCGAAAAACTACTCGCTAACAAAATGTTCTATGACCAGGTCTTTGTCAAATTCATCGAAGAATGCAAATTCCAAAGATGGTCAGACTATTAATCAACATTGACCAACCCATGGCATCAAACTTCTCACGGTCCCAAAACTTCGAGACTGCTCACGGACGGTCGTCTCAAATTGTTATTGGTCCGATATAAGTATCGGACCGGCCTAATAGATGTAGCTGGGCGTCAGCAGACGTTCATGGGGGTGAAGATTCATGGGGGTGAAGATTCATGGGGTAGAGGAGTTGACAGTATGTATGGTCAATCGGAAAAAGTCTATTGTTAGGACGAGATTTTCTTGGCTAAGAGTGTAGCAAACCGAAGTTGTATTGGATTTCCATGTTCGTCTGTTTTATGAAGTGATCCGACATCTTCGTTATATTTAAGAATGGACCAGTTGGAGTATAGTTCTTTGAGTTGTCCTTTTTTGAAGGTAAACTTGAACGGTAGATTGGGTTGGTCGGACAAGGGATAGTCATCTGAATCCATGGCGCAGACAATGAGGTTGTATCCTCCGTCGGCGGTGCTTTGTTGCATTTCTTTGACGACTCGGTTGACGGATTTGGGTTCTAAGAACATGAGAACGACGGTGTTAACGATGAGGTTATATGGTCCTGTCGGGAGTGACTCGGAGTCTAGGTCGTGTACAGTGGCATCAATATTTTCTTGGATTTTTTCCTCTTGTGCAATTGTCGCGAGACTTTGGATGCTCTCGGCGTTTCGGTCCCAGCATGTGACCTTCCAGCCGTGCTGTTGAAGGTAAAGTGCGTTACGACCTTTCCCACAGCCAACGTCCAACGCCCATGGCGACGCATCAACCTCAAGATTGCCCTTCAAGGCGGCCACGACTTCCGAGTGAGGCGGTGTCAAACCGTACTTCCGAAAATAGTAATCTCTCGGCTCGCAGAGAAAGCGCAACTGGCATAAAATATCTGGGGACACACTCGAGATCCGGTGCCATACCTGCGGCTCCACAAGTGGTGCCTGTTCCTCCGGGGTAAAGATCAACTCATCCACAACCTTCCCCTCCTCCGTTAGAAATGCAAAGTCCAAAGCACCCTCCAACACAGTTAACTTTGCCCACACACCTTCCTTGGTATTGTGCTTCTCCTTGAACCCATTCGGCAGCGTCTTAGCACTCCACACCGGCATAGTCTTGTACACTACCAAATCCTGCTCCGTCAGACCCTTTTCAATCGGACCCTTGTCAATCGGACCCTTGTCAATCGGGGTATTGGCAGCCGTATCCATTGTCACCACTTGCTCAGATGACATCTTCAATTTTTTCAAACAACCACGACCCAAATTCGAATAACGACCAAGTAGCGACATCACTTAACACAACTCAGCAAACTATCTATGGGGCATTAACACACGAACGATCACATCGCAAAAGTTATCACAATCAAGTCAATTATTTTTTTTTTAAAAAACTGACTCTTCGCGCACTTTTTTATTCTTCGCGCACTTTTTTATTCTTCACACTTAACAGTCAACCTCACTGACGGTTCATCGCCATGCTTCTCGTCCACTAATCCGATCTCCCCCGAGTAATAGAAGCCAGGTCTTTGTTCGAACTTGAAAGCGCCCTCGGCTAGCGTCTCGTCAAGTCGCAAATGTCTGGCATCCCGGACTTTGATCGTGAATTCCGAATGACTCTCGTTCACATCGAAACTCCACGTCTCCTCAAAGTCGGCGCTAGAACCAGCGTCCTTGGCAGTCTTAGTATGCCACGAGTGGAAGGTGCCGTAGTGGCACTCGACATACAAGTCCGACTTGTTAAACAGACCCGTATGCCCCTGGAAACCCGCTACGGAATGTATGGTCACTGAAATCTTCATCCTAAACTTTACAACGAAACATTTCCATCATGAGGGACAGAACGATGGTAAAACGGATCTGTGCCAGCACCTTAAATTTGGATGGCCTAAAAAAATATTTGTCCTTCATCCAAGAACCCAGAATTCCAGTGTACTGCTGTATGAAGAAAATTCTGGTATGCAACTGCACATATTACACCGTAATATGAAGAGGCTGTCTGGCTTAGGGGTGTCCGATCACCCCGTTGGGAACTTCTTTTGGGCGTCGGGAAGATATTTTGGGGTAGTGCACACACGTTTGCAGTGCTGAATCACTGAAGAAAAATGTCCGTTTTTCGAAAGTTGGTAGCGTTCTGAACGTAATTATCTCCTGCCGCCTATTCGCGCACTTATTCCCGGGGGTCGCGTCAATTCGGCATCAATGTGGTCACTACAGCTGTGTATGCTCCAGACGTAGTTTGCGTGACTCACTCTCAAGTGAAATACCTTGCCAAGATAGATCTCAAGAAAGCTTTCCATTTCATACCATGAACTGATACGACCTGAACTGATACGACCTGAACTGATACGACCTCACCACTGATACGACCTCACCACTGATACGACCTCACCACTGATACGACCTCACCACTGAACTATCTATCAGTTAATAAACCATAGTCACTAGCACGAGAAAAGCCAACCTAGCTGCACAGACATAAATTCCAACAAGCTCTCCATACCGAACGATAAGTGGAAGCACATAACGCAGTTACCACACACACTCTGAAACGCATTCATTAAGAAACTATTCACAGACAAGGTGAAAGATAACTCCCTCTGCCGGCGAGCCTTTTAGGCATTACCTCCTGTAACAAAACCGCGAGACTCTGCTTCAAGCAACTCGCCCACTTACGGCTACGAGTCCGCTACCCGCCGTACATAACTACGCCAACGAAGCACATGGAGCCTACACTCGGGTGCAATATATCTCATGTCATCCTAAACAACGCAATAGAACACTCATTTTTTGACACTTCTTGACGGGTACAGACTTGTGGCACAGACAGATATTTACGAGTATGGATCCGTGAAGGGCCTGGACCGCGACAGGAAAACAGAAAGATCAAATGGTGTTGGAGGTGGGCAAAAAAACGCTTGGAGGTAATAATGGACTTGTTTGAAGGTGGTCTTCATGACGACCAACTCCCCGGCTCGATTCTTACTGATGAGTCGGTGACTCCTAAAATTGTTGCTGCCCACAACTTATTTTCTATGTGGCCAGAACCTGACTAGCCAGCCTGTCGTCCAGAACCTGAGTAGCCAGCCAGTCTAACCTGTCCAGAACTTGTCTCTTTTAACTCTTTTATTCAGCGGTAATATCTTTACAAAATATTGCGCCTTCCGCATCTCTTCAAGTTGTGTTTTGCTTGTTGTCCGCATAAATTCCCGAACAGCCCCGGCATATGACCCAGCTACGGCTGAGCCGATTCCGTATACGATATGGTCTCGAGTTGCGTCAGAAACGCTGAACCAAAGGTGGATTGGTAGGGAAAGGACTATATTCCGGCACATCTTGTCTATGAATAGAAACCATGTACGTGGGCCGGCTCTTAGGTTCGCCTTGGATCCATGCTTCAGCTGCATTTGATTAGGCTGCGTAAACCAATCTTTGTTACGCAAATGAGGCTTATCCTTCTCTACGGCCACCACCAACTTAAGTTTAAATGGCTCTTCCCTAGCAAAATGCTCCGAAGTACCAAACAACACATCAACACGCTCGAACCTGCATCCGGCCGTGCCAGACAGACAACCAGTTTCATCTACATATGACGCCGTCATCACTGTACCCAAAACCACACTACTCGATTTACAACTCCGCGCACTTTTCATGATTAAAACAAACGAAAATGTGGCACCCAAATATCCAACATGGTGGGTGCCCACAAGTCGAGCGTTCGAAACTCTCTGGGGTCCACCATTGTAGGGGTGATAAATTGTTAGATTATGGTTGCTAAAAATAAAGTGCAGGGAAATCCCATCATCCCATTCATTATTCGGAATCAGTGGCCTCTTCTTCATCGTCGTCGTCAGAGGCGGTTTCGGTGTCGTCCTCGGTCTCCTCTTCGGAGTCGGAGTCGTCCTCGGCAGTTTGGAGGTTTAAAGCCGTGATCTTTGAGCTGGTCTTATTTTTTTTGGCGGCTTCCTTGTTTGTTTTGCTGAGAGTGGCCGGATGCTTTTTGCTCTTTTTGGCTACCCGCTTGTCGTCCTCCTCAGCACACTGTGCTTCCTTTTTGGCAACCGTCTTCTTTGTCTTCTTTACCCTCCGCGTAAGTTTCTTCCACCACGATGTGTCGACATCATCCTCGGGACCGTTCCAGAAGTCCTTCGCTTTGGCCTTTTTGGCGCTGACGATCCTCATAACGTGTTGTGCTCGACAAAGGTCCTCGACAGCTGCCTTACCTCTCGCCGCAAGGTAGTCGTCGAGCTCAGCCACATAGCAGCCTGCGATGTCTCGTGTTAGTTTGCGCTCGAGTGACTTCTTCGAAATTGCACCTGGCAACAGATGACCTTTCGGGAGCTGCCCAATGATTGTAAAAGCCGCAGCCCGTGCAAATCGAATCCACGTCTCAATTCCAGCAGTCAAATTCGTCGGTGACCTCTTCTTCAACTGCATACGTGTCGGCTTCAAGAACCATGGGTACCCCTTCACCTCATGCTCGAAATGGTCAATTCTCCAGACTCTGTGCAAAGCGAAAATCACTTCCAAATGCTGAGCCGTTTCCTCCTCCAACTCTTCTCGTGTACCGAACGCGATCGTCACCTGCTCGTAGTCGCAATCCGAATGGCAGCTCAAACCACCCACCTTATCCACATACACGGCCGTTGCAACCACGTTCAGACATGACTCAATCGATCTTATCGAACAACTACTCTTCATTGTTACTTGATGAACAAATTTCCGACCAGAAAAAAATCATGCCACCAACAAGTTGTGTCGAGGTCGGCAAAGCTCCCACAAAATCGTAAACGGCCACCGTGTGTGTGTCGGGACACGGCCATCGTGTGTGTGTCGGGACACGGCCACCGTGTGTGTGTCGGGACACGGCCATCGTGTGTGCTATGTAAAAATTAAATGAGCCATCATCTAAGACTCGTCCTGTCATGAACACTGAATGGTCATTCTAATACATGGTTCGCGGCCGTGTTTGTCATCTTGCAGAGCGACTTCCCAGTGTAGAAGAAACCCGGTCTCTGATCGAAATGTATTTTGCCTTGCGCCAAGAGCTCGTCTGACTGAAGGTGCTTAGCGTCGCAGGCCTTAATCCAAAAGTTTCCGAAAGACCGGGATCAGCTTCGAAGGTCCAAGTCTCTTCAAAAGACCATGAGAGCCAGCATCCTTAGCCANAGATGTTCGCCAAG